TGGTGTCAGGCGGTCAGAGGCTGTTTGTCCTGTCCTTGGGTAGCATCTCCTGCCCTTAAGAACTCAATGCTGCAAATACTCTTAGATGATGATTAATGAGTGCTTATATAACTGAACTGAGTCCTTAATGCAGACGGGAGGGTGACAGGAGGGAAGGTGGGAGCAATAAACTGCACGTCGCTGCTGCCGCTGCTTTTCCCACACCGGAGAAGCTGTGATCTGTGCAGGGGGACCCTGGCAGATGTGGGGGAGAGGCCACCCACGGGGAAGCAGCTTGGGCAGCCCCCATCTGGGTTTTCCAGGCAGTTCTGGATCCTGTGGGAGTGAGCAGCTGGTGGCGCTGCCCCAAACCATGTTGCCCATGGCATATCTGGGCTCTCCGGTGTGGGAGGTGAAGGGTTTATGCTGGAAAAGCATTCATGTGTGACAGTGGCTGGAATGTTGTGCTGGTGAGCTGGGAGTGCTGGAGGAAAAGGGCAAAAATCCCACAGTAACACCTTAGTGTGACCCGTGAGGGGCGATGAGGCTGCTGCTGGAGATGCTGGGTGGAATTGTTTCTAAATTTGGCTGTGTTTGGGCAGGTAGGGACAGTCTGACACACAAGATTTGGTTTTCCATAATCTGGCTGGGAAGCACCAGCCCTGATAAAGCTGCTGCTCAGCGCCAAGGCAGTTTCATGGTTGCCATGGTTACCACATGCTTATTTTCACCATCTTGCTCACCTCAGCCGGGGTGCCCCGGCATTCCCAACCCTGAATCCCCCCTGACCTCAATCGGGGTGCACTGGCATTCCCAGCTCTGAATTCCCCCGGACTCCAGCTGGGTGCAGCAGTATCTCTGACTCCAAATCCCCCCCGGACCTCAGCTCATTTCCTAATACTCCAGTTTGGATTTCTGGACACTGCTGTGACCCCCCTGTCACCTCAGGGCAACTTGTGCCAGCCCTGACCTCGTGCACCTTTTTGTTGGGGATCCCATCCTGTTGCCCCCTGTGGATCCAACCCTTTTACTCTCTGTGGATCCAATCACTCTGCTCCCTGTGGATCCAATCCTCCCTCTCCCTGTGGATCCGATCCTCCCTCTCCCTGTGGATCCAATCCTCCCTCTCCCTGTGGATCCAGTCCTTCTGCTCTCTGTGAATCTCTTCCCCCCGCTCGCCATGGATCTGACCCCCACGGATCCTGTCCCCCTGCTCCCGGTGGCTTTGTCCTACAGCCCGGTAAATCCCGGTCACAGGGAAGCGCAGCGGCCGCGCTCCTCACCATGGCAACGGCGGGATTGCGTCAGGGCTTTTCTTTCCAACTGCAAAGCTGGATGAGCAACTCCCTCGGGGAAGTAGTAAGGGAGAAGGGAATATTCTTTTCCCTGGGGCGCTCTGGGACTGCCTGTTCCCTAATCCAGCCCTGGTTTGGTGTTTGCTCGCGGGTCCAAGGCTGCCATGGGCCAGACACGGTGGGGACAGCGAGGGGTCCCATGCCAGGGACACCGAGGGGTCCTGAGCTGGGGACACTGAGGCCTCCCGTGCTGGGAAGTCTCCGTGTGCCTTCCCTGTGGCACCTCCCTGCTCCTGATATAAGATGATCTTGCAGGAAAGACCAGGAAGGAGCCAGAGGCTTGGTGTTGAATGGGGTGGAGGCCCAGGGATGAGCTCTGCTTCACTCCGGCCTCACATTCCCTCCTTTCCTGCAATCCCAGCAAAAACAAAGGCAGAGGAGGCGGCTCTTGCGCCCTGCAGGATGTGCTGGGGCGTGCAGAGCTCCCCCACTGCTGTGCCTGGGAGCAGGGAGGATGGTCCCAGGGGCTTTGCCGAGCCTCAGGAGCAGGAACGCGGTGCCAGAACCCGGAGCGGGCGGGGGAAAGGGGGGCTGCCTGGAGGGCTTTGTTCCCTCCCAGCCCCGGGTAAGGCACAGCACCAGAGGACGAGATGTGGCACCCACTGCCCAATCCTCCCTTCCCCCCCCAGCACTCCCGTCCCCTGCTCCGTGATTTGGGAATTTGGGAACCTCATCAGAGCAGTGCCTGGGGCGGGGGCTGCCCTTGGCTCTCCAGAAGGTGCCGGGGCTGCCGAGCAGGTTTGGGCTCAGCTGCTGCAGGGCTCTGGGCAATTCCGTGTGCGGGGATTGGGAAAGGTCCCTACAAACGCCACAGCAAGGTGGGGACCCCCAGAGAAGCCCGTGGTGCTGTGGAAGGAGCTGCCCGGGTGCAGCTCCTGTTGAGGCTCACCTCGATGTGGGAATGGCACGGGGTGAAGGCAGGAGGGCAGCACAGCTCCTCCTATCACTGCTGCCCCATGGATTTCCATGTGGTGATATCCCTGCTGTGCTGCTGGACTGGCGGAACTTCCAGGAAATCAGATTTGCATTACCAGGATGTTTGGTCCTACAACCTCTGCCCTTGGAAGCTTTAAAAAATAGGTGATAAAAAACATCAGTCACGTGTGGGGGGATTGCTTGAATCAGCTCCAGGTGATCCCTGAGGTCCCTGCAGCCTCTGTGATTCACAGTTTCCCATGGTTGCACCTGTGCACACAAACAGCTCCGCTCCAGAGCGGATATTTGCACTCCCTAAGGAACTTTGGCACTTTTGCCAAATTGGGTCACGGCCACAGCCCTGCTCACAGCCAGATCCAGGTGACCAAAATGAGGGCTCAGCCAGGGCAAACACCCATGGGTGCTCAGGTCTGGAACTCACACAGGAGTGAACTCTGCGTCTCCTGCGTGGTGTTGCCTGGTTGGGACCCCTGGCCAGGTTCCTTCTGCTGCAGGAGCTTTGCTCTAAGGATCCTTGGCTGTTTCAGTGCTTAATTAACTGCCCTAATGAGTGGTGCAACCTGCCAGGTGAGCTGCCTGCCTGGCTGCTCCCAGCACTGCTTCCAGCCTGTGGGACATGCAGCGATGTCCCTGAGCCCCTCGGGCTGGTGACATGGGCCAGCTGTGGCCCCTGTGTGCAGCTGATCATGGAATATCCACGAGGATTGTCAAATCCACAGCTGGTGCCATGTCTGATGCCCTGAGTCAGGAGTGAACCCTCCTGGCAGCAGCAGCACTGGGGCCAGAGTGTCCCTTTGGCCCAGCTCTCGCCTTGTGTCACTGGTGACTCTCACTGTCAAAGCAAAGGCATCAACACACCCCAGGGAGACAGAAATCACACTTTTGGGACACAACCAAGCAGGGCTGTGCTCGCCATTCCCTGTCACAGCAGCTCCTCTGCTCCCAGCAGCCCTTCATCCTGCTGGGACTCAAATTCCCCCGAAGCAGCAAAGGTGATATTTTCACAACACCCGACCTGCCTGGCTTTGTGTGGAGTCAAATCCCAGTGAATCCCTTGAGTGTCCCTCGAGGTTTGCAGCGGGGTTGGTGTTGGCTGTCCAGCATCTCAGGCTGGAAAATGGCTCTGTGCATCAAGGTCATTTATCCACCCTCATCACAGACCAGAAACGCTCACGTTAATGGGTCTCTAATTTAATCAAAATGCTGTGCTTGTGATTGCAGGCTGGAATCTTTTCCTCTCTTGAAGGGCAAAAATCAATTTGCAGTAACAGCAGACACGTCTGCTCCCTCCTCCAGGCCTAGGAAAGTGAGTAAAGTTTTTCATGGAAGGAAAATAATAATATTGGCCTGGTGTGACATCAATATTGAGTTTTTTTATGTGCTTTTGAGCACTTTGGTGACAGCATTCTGTGGCCCTGTGAGCTCAGAAAAAACACAGATGTGCCACCCCTGGGTTTCATAATTACTGTATTACCTATGTACAAACTGCCCTTTTCCTGCAGATCCCAAAGGGATCACAACAAATCGAGGAGGAAAAGTCTGATTTCCACGCTCTGGGAGGCAGGGAATGGGTGATCACTGCTCGACAGAGCAATCACAGGCAGGTTTCTTTGCATCTCCCGTGGTTTGTTTTTCCTCAGTCTCAGTCCCTGGTTTGGAAATCGGTCACCAAATAGTGGTGATTCTGTACTCCAGTGATTTTCTTCCGTGCAGCCTGGCTCAGACTGGAAATGCTGGAAGGATGGAAGGAGGGTGGCTGGTGGCTGCAAACTCTGGCTGCAAACTGCAACGTGAATTACAAGGAGTTTCTGGAGGCAGAGCAAACGTGTCTGGTCCTGCCTGGGACAGGGGACACACACACACACACAGAGTGACCCCTGATGTGTCCAGCGCTGTCCTTGGACACAGGACACACACGGTGACAGCACAGCCCCGTCCTTGCCACGCTTCCTTCCCGTTTCCTGCACACTGCTATTCCCTCCCATCCATCCCCTCCTCTCCAATCTATTTATTCACGTGCATCTCTTCCTCTCCAATGTTTCCAAACACTTTTCTACATGAGATTGTAATTATTGTACGAAACACTGACCATTTGTATTTTGAGGCCTTTTCAAAGCCTCTCAATGAGGCTCTGCCAGTTTTCTCTTTCAGTACAAACTTTTTACTGCTGAAGGCATTCTCACCTTTGTCAAGGCTTTAAAAGATTTCAATCTTTGAGAAAACAGGTTGTTCTTTTTGAACAAAACTTCATTACTTTGACTACTTCTCACCATCACCTCCCAAGTGCGTGTACAACAACACCGCAAGGAGGCAAATGAAGGGATCATTCCCCGCGGGACAGAGAGGAGAGCTGCCGCCGCGGGGGCCAGTTCGCGGGGACAGGACGGGCTTCCTGAGCGGGGCGGTGACCGGATGGGCCGCAGCGGGAGGAGCCGCCGAGGCCCGGCCGGGGGCAGCGCTCGGCGCCCAAGATGGCGGCGGCCCCTGAGGCGGCCCTTTGTCTGCGGCCGCCGCCGCAGTGCGAGAAGGGCGCGAAACTGGGCCAGCGTGGGCGTGCCCCCTTCGCCAGAGGGGCGGGGCGGCCGCGCCCCCCGGCCAATCAGCGGCCTCCACTTCCTTCCCTCTCACAGGGGCGCTCCCGCCCGCCTCCGCGCGCGCAGCCAATGGGCGCAGTCCGTCGCGCCCCGCCCCCGCGTGGGTGGAGGGGGCGGGGCCACGCTGTGGGTTTGTTTGCGCGCCCCTGCTTTCGCCCCCGCTGTGGTTCATTAATATTAATGAAATCCCGCCCAATCAGGTGGTGCAGCGGCGGCAGGGCTTTGGTGACGTGTCGCCCCTCCTTGCTGCGGGGTTCATCTGCATATTCATAAGATAGGCGGGATAAGGCGCGGGCGTTTATAAGGCGCCGCCCCGCCAGGCTCGCCGTACATTTCGCTGAAGCTTTGAAGTGTTTTGTGGACCTCGCACCGCCCGGGTATCGGTGAGCGCAGTCGCGCGGGGCGGTCGCGACCGCACCGGGCCGGGTGGTCCGCGGTGAGCGGAGCCGTGTCCCAGGGGTAAAGGGCCAGGTCCCTCGGGAGGCTGGGCCGTGCCTGCGGACCCTCCGATCGGTGCCCTCTGCGGGCACGGGGGGCGCGGCGGAGCGGGCCTTTCTGGGCCGTGTGGGGAAAAGGCGCCGCGGCAGGGGGAAAGGCGTGCGCGGAAACAAAATGGCGACGGGCCTCGGCCGTGCAAAATGGCGGGCGGGAGGGAGGGGGCGGCGGGCAGCGCTGTCCGGGGAAGGCCGGTAGGGGGCGCGGCGAGGCGCGCATGCGCGCTGGGCACGGAGGGGCCCGGGAGCGGGGTCCCACCGGGGGTCGGCGGGACCCGACCGGCCGCGGGTTCTGCCGGGGCCCGGCTCCGGTGCTGCTCTTCTGGCCTTGGCCCTGAGCCTCGCGGAGCCCCGGCTGGGCCCTCGCTCCCGCCCGCCCTGAGGGAGACCCCTTGTGAGGCTGGAAGGCCGCATAAAGCGTGGGCTCCGAGGCGCATAAGGGGAGTGTGAGCTCACATCGGTGTTGCTGTAGGTGGTGTTAGAAGGATTTAATGTTTCACACCTCGCGGGGGTTATGTGGGTTTTTTGAGTCGCTGACTCGGTTCTGTTGGTTTGGCAGGTCAGAATGGCGTCAGATGAGGGAAAGCTCTTTGTCGGCGGGCTCAGTTTCGACACCAATGAGCAGTCATTGGAGCAAGTCTTCTCTAAATACGGACAGATTTCTGAAGGTGAGCCTGCAGAGCCGCGATGGGATAGTTTCCCTAAGCCTGTTAAATTTCCCTGGCACTGATGGGTGTTTATTTCATGTCTCTCCTTTTCACAGTCGTGGTGGTGAAAGACAGAGAGACTCAGAGATCCAGAGGTTTTGGCTTTGTTACTTTTGAAAATATCGATGATGCAAAAGATGCAATGATGGCCATGAATGGAAAGGTGAGGACGCCCTGGAGTTGATTCTTTATTTCGTGTAGTGGAGGAAGAGAATCAGAGGTGTGCTGCTGTTCAGGCTGTGTGGAATGACAGATAAATGCCAGTGTCTTACATGAGATGCTAGGGATGTAAAAAATCTGGCTGTAGGAATTAATATGTAAAAGAACATACGTGTGTGTGTGTGTGTGTGTGTGTATATATATATATTTATATATTCTAGGAATGAAACGGTAAAGTTCCATTATGGGATCTGGATGACTGAGCTATAACTTTATAGGCATTCCTGTAAATACAACTAATATATCAGGTTTTTTGCCAACTTTATTTAATTGTGGCATGAAGTAGACATCTATTTCATGAGGAGCAGCGAGTCCTGGCACTGTTTAGCCAACTGTGAAAGTGTGCAGCTCATTCTACATGTGCTTTCTATTTAAATATTTCAGTTTGGCTAACTGTGGTTGTGTTTTAGTCTGTAGATGGGCGTCAGATCCGAGTCGACCAGGCTGGCAAGTCCTCAGAGAACAGATCCCGTGGCTACAGAGGGGGGTCCTCGGGGGGCCGGGGCTTCTTCCGCGGGGGCCGAGGCCGGGGCCGTGGCTTCTCCAGAGGTGAGTGCCTGGGGGTCAGTCATAATGCCTGGATATGGGGGGTGTGCCACTTGTCAGAATGGTTAAAGTTCCATTATGGGATCTGGATGACTGAGCTATAACTTTATAGGCATTCCTCTAAATACAACTAATATCAGGTTTTTTTGCCTACTTTATTTAATTGTGGCATGAAATAGACATTTATTTCATGAGGAACAGCGAGTCCTGGCACTGTTTAGCCAACTGTGAAAGTGTGCAGCTCATTCTACATGTGCTTTCTATTTAAATATTTCAGTTTGGCTAACTGTGGTTGTGTTTTAGTCTGTAGATGGGCGTCAGATCCGAGTCGACCAGGCTGGCAAGTCCTCAGAGAACAGATCCCGTGGCTACAGAGGGGGGTCCTCGGGGGGCCGGGGCTTCTTCCGCGGGGGCCGAGGCCGGGGCCGTGGCTTCTCCAGAGGTGAGTGCCTGGGGGTCAGTCATAATGCCTGGATATGGGGGGTGTGCCACTTGTCAGAATGGTTAAAAAAACCTCGTTTCCATGTATTTCCAAGGAGGTGGAGACAGAGGCTATGGCGGCAGCAGATTCGATTCCAGAAGTGGAGGCTATAACGGCTCCAGAGACTACTATAATAGCAGGTAAGGGCTCTGCCGGCTCCAGGGGTCGTGGGGAAGCTGTGGTGGAGCTCAAACCAGCAGAGGAGGAATTGAGCAGCTATAAAGCAGGTGCTGTTTGTCCTGCAGGAGTCAAGGTGGCTATGGAGACAGGAACTCGGGGGGCTCCTACAGAGACAGCTACGACAGTTACGGTAAGTCCTGCTTCGAGCGGGAGCGCTGAGTCCGTGTGCTGTAGGAGCTCTGAACCTGCTGAGCCTGAGCCTGGAGCTGGGGCAGGCTCAGGCTGTGGACGTGGTGGTGCCGGGAGATTCTAATTTAATGCATGTGCAGGAGTTGCTCTGATCTAAGGCAAAGCAAGTGTTTAAAAAAAAAAAAAAAAAAAAAAGGTGTTCCTGGAGCCCAAACTCGGCTGCCCTAACGCACTGACCCGCGGGTGGGGGATCTCAGTAGCCAAGTAGCCGTAGCCTTGGAATAATGCAAAGGGAGTAAAATGCTGGAACTTGTCTTTGCTTCAGTGCCTTTACAATTGTGCCTGCTTCTTGTCCTCAGCTACACACAACGAGTAAAAATCCTTCCTGACTCAAGATCGTCCTTCCAATGGCTGTATTTATAAAGATTTTTGGAGCTTCGCTGAAATGGTTATTGTGTAGTACATCTACTTGTATTTTCACTTTTGTAGTATTATCAGTTCTGATCTTGTCATACACAGCCTGGCAGCTTCTGAGACGAGACTGTCTGATTAGACTGTCTTGGAGAAAGCTCTGCTTTCAAGTGGTTTTAATCTTTTTTGAAAGCACTTCAGATTTTATTTTATCCTCCATGAATGAGCCAAGGTGTTCGTTTTTGGTTGTTTTTTTTTTTAAGTTGGGGCCCCAATTCAGTTTCTTTTGAGCTAGCAAGGACCTTGTACCAATGTTCACTGGAAGCTGAACAAGCTGTGGACTTTTTTTTCTTCTTTTTTTTTTTTTTTCAAGTGCATTACCTTCGTCTTTTGTAACATTCCTTTAGTGTAGCAAGGTAGGAATGCAGCTTGGGTTCCGTTGGAAGGCAAACCACCTTGATATATCTAAAGAGAAACGTGCTTGTATGTTCAACCCGCATAACGGTATTTTTACTGTTGTAATGATGTAAATGACCCAGAACTAGACTTGCAAACTTACCATAAAGAGGTTCTTGAAAATGTTTATTTATATTGTCCTTTTTTACTGGAAGAAATATGCATATTCCATTGCTGTTGTATTTGAAGTGGTAAAGGATTCCTGTATACAGTTTTCTTTGGCTTTACGAAGCCTATTAAAAGACCGTCTGAAATGAACTCTGCTCCTGACATTTACATTTCATTGCACAACACAACCCTTGGAGACGAAGAACAGTCTTGGGAGCGAGAGGAGGAGATTAGGGACAGTGGCAGAGCTGGCCGGACGATTGCCCGGGCGCTGGAATTTAAATCCTAAAATCGGTCTTGACATCTGAATCGGCCAAGAAATTTCACATAAAGTAGCCAAAACTTGTCTGTAGAGGCTGGAAGTACAAACCTGAGGGCGTGCTAGGAGCGAAGTGCAGTTGGAATGTTAGGAAGGATGAAGGATGTTTCCTCCAAAGCTGCTGTAGCCTACACTGGGAAGCTGTAGAGAAGAGCCAAGTGCTGTAGTCCCTGGGCTGTTCCCTGCGTGCCGAGCGCGTGTGCGATGTAGGGGAATGCCGGGCTTAGCTTAGCTGTGTCGTTGCTTACAAGTTCTAAGAATTCTTTGCTAGCAAATGGAAACTGCAGTGTCCTTGGAGAAAAGAAGTGTTGTGCCTCCAACAGAAACCTCTGAGACGAGAGCTGCTCTCTTGGCTAGTTCATATGTGGAAATAGTCCTGTAATTCGAGGTAACTCCTTTTGCTCATGTCCGCATCCTTCCTCTTGTTGAGAGCTCATTTGAAAGTCTAATGTACCTGTGAAATATTCCTTTTGACAATTTTGGTCAGCTGCTGGAAAAACGTTAACCCATGCCGTATGCAACCTTTGGCTTGTGGCACACCTTGAGTTCCACAGATCAGAGTTGGGCATGCAGCCGTGTCTTGCTGTAGGTACGGAAGCAAGATTGGAACGAACTCCCTGACTCGATATGTGTTCATCTATTGAGACTCTTCCTAGACTTCATTAAGTTGCTCACTTTAATTGTAGCTTTCTTTGCCATCCTACTTGTTGCCATTAACTTTTTCCCATGGCCCACACTTCCTAAGCAGCCATGTCCAAGTGTTAACTCTCTGCTTAGGGGATCCAATCCATGGGCTGGCTGAGCACGGGCAGCAGCCGGCCCGGAACAGTTTTCCCAGACTGTGCTTTGTGGTGTGATGGGTTCAGCGATGGCTTGTGAGACCCTCGTGCGCTGTGAGCTGTGTGGGGAGGTTGGGGGCAAGAGCAGCCTCTGCCCTGGGCTCTTGTTAATGCCTCTCTGCTTTAGCAGGCTGAAGGGACCCGGCACACGCCTCGGAGGCCCAGCGGATCCTGAGCGACCAGAGCTGCGTTCCAGGGGTGCTGCAGCAAGTTTGCCAGCCAGGTAATGTCCCTTTCCTGAGTTTTTTTCCCTTTGGCTGTGTCCCTGTTGCGTAGTCCTGAGCTCTGAGTGGTACAGTAACCATGTTCCATTCCTGTATCTTTATCCACCTTCCAATTCTTGTCTCAATTTCCTTTCAGCACTGAGACACGGCAGAGAAGACAGAAGGACAGACACTGGAGTGTGGAGATGAAGAGCTCAGAGCGGTGGTGTTGCTCATTTTTACATGAACCAAATCAGTCAAGACAGAATAAAACACTGAAATGTGGAAAAAACAAATCTCTGTGGTACTTCTTGTGGGAAGCAGAATGTTTTTGGCAAAAGTATTTGGTGCACAGCCCAGTTGAGAGCACAGAGCAAACCACCGCTGTGGTGCTTGGAGGTGGGCACACTCTGCTCCAAGAAGATTGATGTGTGATCCTCATGGAAAGTGAGGTCTTGTTGAGGGTTAAATCCCAAAAATGTGGCAGCTCTGTTATGAGGAGGATTAATATAATAGCGTTGGGAGAGGCTGACACTGAATGTGTTTCTGGCAGGAGATTGCAGGGTGAGTGCAGTGAGAGTTTTTGATGATCTCAGCTGCTCCTGCCCTTTTTTTTTTTTTTGTGTTAGAGAAGAGTTGTTGATTGCTTCTTCCTGCCCTTTTCTCCCCATCTTTTTTAAACTGATAAACTCAGAATTTGGTGATGGGCTTATTCAGGAGCCCTGAGGACTTGCTGCCCGAGTGCTATCAGTTCCCCACTTTCCACTGATACACAAGTCCCCAGACATTCCTGCCTGCAGGGGAGGGGATTATTGAGCTCACTTCACAAAACCTGCTTTTCCTCCTTTAACCTTTTTCAAATTGTCTAAGTGAAGAGCATTTAAAAAAAGCAATCAGCCATGACACACTTCTGGGGATTGTATTGAGCAATTCACCATGAGGATTTTTGCATGTTAATGCAGGAGGATTTTAAATATAATGAAGGCTGAGGAGTGCGTGAAGTCTTTGCTGATAAAAATGCAGTCAGGTGAGGTATAAATGAATTCAGGCTGAAAATACTTACAAATAATGCTTTGTAAGACCTTCCTAAATAGGATGCTTAGACGCAGGCAGAAATAATGAACAGGTGCAAAAATAGCCTGGTTGGAGGTGCTGTTATTTTTGGCACTGCTAATTATGGCATTGAGTTAATGATGTCTTGCTGGGATGGGTGAGGGAATCGCTGGAGCCAGGGGCTGCATGTGGAACCCAGTGGCGTCATCGGGAAGGTGCCGTGGGTCTGACGTGAGCTCGGGTGACCCAGTTTTAGCCAAAATGCCCTTTTTATTTTTAAAGTAAGCCCTGTGTGTCCAGGCACCTTGAGCCATTCCCTGCGGAAAAATGGGGAAGTGGAGCAGGGCTGAAGGGCGGTGATTGAGCTCTGGGCAGCCGGAAGCGTCTGCAGAGGGAGAAGATGGGGGATAGAAATTCTTGAAATGCTCAAAATGCTCCTGTTTCCAGCTGTGTTCACCATGGGGCGGGAATGGCCGCCCTGGAGGGAGAAGGAGAACCCTGAGGGGGAAATGGCGGCTCTGGGGGAGAAGGTCCTGCTATGAGGGGGAAGTGGAGCCACTGAGGGAGAAATGATGACCCTCGGGGAAATGGTGGCCTTGAGGGAGGAAGGACAACCCAGAGGGGGAAATGGCGGCTCTGAGGGAGGAATGAGAGTCCTGAAAGGCAGCCCTGAGAGAGGATGACCCTGAGCGGAAAATGGCGTCTGTGACGGACGGGGTGTTGCAGTGAGGCAGAAATGGCGGCCCCGCCGAGGTGCGCGCAGCCCGCTAGGGCACAGCAACAACAACAACAACAACCGTGAGGGCAAAATGTCGGAGCCCCTCGGCGGCTCCGTGAGCGGCTCACGGCCGGCCCGGAACGGCGCAGCCCCGGAACCCGCGAGCGGATCCGCGGCGCCCGGGCGGGGCCTGCGCCGAGCGCACCGTCCCGGCGCCTTCCTGCGGCCGCCGCTCCCGCTCCGCCGCCCCGGCCCGGCCATGCCGCGCCTCCTCTTCCTCCTCCTCCTCCTCGTCCCGCACCTCGGCCGCGCCGCCGCCCCCAGCCCGGGGAACAGCACGGAGCCGCCGCGGGCGACCACAGGGAACGACACGCACACGGAGTCGGAGCACGAGTCCGGGCCGAGGCTGTCGGTGGGGTCGGGGCTGCCGGTGCTGAGGCGCGCGGTTTATGTGCTGAGCGCTCTGTCGGCGCTGGCCGCGTTCTACTTCATGCTGAGGGCGTTCCGGTGAGTGCAAGGCGGGCACGGGCACCCGCCCGCGGCTGTGTCCGTGTTCTGCTGGTCCCGCTCCTGCTCTTGTCCCCATCCCGGCGTCCCCTGACCCGGGGCTGTGTCCCTGCTGGTCCTACTTCGTGTTCCCGTTGTCCCGGGCTGTGTCCCAGCTTGTCCCGGTTCCAGGGTTCTCGGGGATCTAGCCTGCTAGTCCTGGTTCCCCCTGCTCGGGGATGTCACCCTGATTGTCCTGGTCCTGGACCCAGTCCCCCTTGCTTGTGGCAGTGTCCTTGCTTGTCCCGGTCGCTGTCCCCCACGGCTGTGCCCCTGCCCGTCCCGGTCTTGCTCTGGGTCCCCCCGAAGCCGGTCACGGTGTCCCCCGTCCCTTGCCTGCCCCAATTCCGCTCCTAATCCCTGGGTTTGTGCCCATTTTCCCTGAATCCCCCTCCCTCCCAGCCGGGGCTCTGCTTCCCCGCGCATCCCTTTGGCAGCGAGTCCAAAACGTTGCTGTAAATCCCTAACACTGTTAATTACCCGAGGTAATTAGCGCTAAACCATCTCCCGCTGAACCACCCGCTGGGTGGGGACGGCGGCTTGCTCACTGTGCTCTCCGTGTCCCTCAGCCCCAGGTCCGAGGGCCCCAGAAACGAGCCCAAAACTCATTTCAGGTTGAAGAAGCCCCAGAGGAAGAAGTACGGGCTGCTGTCGAGCCAGGACGAGAACATCGAGCTGGGTTCCCTCGACAGTGACGAGGACACCGTGTTTGAGAATCGCAACCTGAGGCGGTGAGGGAGCATTTTGTGTGTTTTTTGTGTTGCTCTTTTCCTCACAAGGGGCTGAGGCTCCTTTCCCAAAGCTGTGGGAGCTCTGGCACAGCTCCTACAACCAGATCTGCATAAATTAAAACGCCTGTGTGTGGTCTCTGTGTTGGCACACGGATTTATCTCACTTTTCCTCATTTTTTGGCCCAGGGAAGTCTCGCTGACAGGGTTATTTGGACACTGCTGTGGGGTCATAGAGCTGTTGGGAGAGGCAGCCCCTGTGCCCAGCCTGGGCCTCCCTGTGTTAGACAGGGAAACAAAAAATCTTGGGTTTTTATTCTCTCCAGCTTAGGAATTGCTTCCAACTCACATCACCGTTCAAGCTCCCAGTCCCATCAGGATATGCATTCCTGTTTTCCCAGCAAAAATCCTGGTTTGTTTTTGTTTTCTTTTTTTCGTTTTGGGAATTGCTTCCAGGTCTCATCACACTTCAAACTCCCAGTCTCAAAGGGATATTTCTGCTTTCCCAGCATTGTGTTCACATCCCACAAGTTTGATTTCTGGGGAGGATGTTTTAAGCTGAGGAGGAATGTCACCTCAGCTCCCCCTGATTTTGGGTGTCTTCTTTATTTTCCAGATGACTCGGGACCAGCGGCACTGGCTGCCTGGAATGATGGAGGGTCCAATCCCAGTGGAATCTCTAGTACTCAAGTTTTAGATCTGCTTACAGTGACTTAACTGACAGTTTGAGCCCTTCCATAGCTGGTGCAGGGGAGAGGGGACCAAACCTGTTTTCTTCACGTGCATTCTTGGGGACATTTCTGGGGAAGGATGGGAGCTGTTCACTGCATGGGGAAAGGCTGAGGTAAAGGAAATGCTCTTGGATGATTTTCAGCACCTGAAATCGGAGCTCGAGAGCTGCCCCTGTGCCTCATATCCCTCTCTCCTTGCCCTGGAAGCATCAGATTGCTTCTCCAGACTGATCCTCTTTCCTTCATGCAATATCAGGTTACTTCTTTGGGAAGTGTCTCTGTAATCAGCTTCTGGGAGGAGCTGCGGGAGCTGTGGCTCTGTTACACAAACGGGGGTGGGAGGGTGATAGTTCAGACACAGCAGCTTTGGGAAGGAGTTAAACGAGTTATATTTTGCAGGATTGGCAATTACTGGGATAATCCAGGTCATTCACGGGTTTACAGACGTGTTAACGAATGAAAGGGGCCACAATCCAAAGGAATCTTTCTCCAAAAGAGCTACAAAAGGTCTGGGAATGCCTGGACTCTGCCCAGCCCCAGCTGTGACTTCACGAGGGACACGTGTGACATCTGCCAAGTTCCGGATTTTGTGATACCTGAGGAAGAGCCAGATGTGAGCCGGGGAGTGTCTTGGAGCAGCTGATGACTGGAAAAGGGGGACCCCAACCTCTCTTGACTGATTCAGGGCAGCCCTGGATGAGTTCTCTCAAGGACCCTGGAGTTTCATTCCCTTGGCTGGTACTCAGCCGGCATCTTTCCTGCAGCCCATTGTTAAGTGGATTTTTGGGATCTGATTGTGTAGGACCAAAGGTGAATGTGTCAGGCGGTGGTTGTTGGGTGGATCTGCTGCTAAATCGGTGAAAACTGCTCGCCAAGTGCTTGTGTCTGTGGCCTCTCCTTGGAAACTGGCAGCACATCCTTAAATCCCACTTACCCCCAAAGCTGGTAGTGCCTTTGTTTGGAGAACCCGAGGGATTTGCCCTGCGGGCAGGGAGGGTCCCCGTGGCACCTTTAGGGTGAAGGTTTGGAATGTCTTTGGCTCCTTCCCTTTGGCTTGCAAATCCCCTGTGGATCAGGGGCACCGATGCCTCTCGGAGAGGGGACAGGGATGTGCTGAGCAGGGGGAGATGCTGCAGGATCTCCCGAGGCAGCCGAGGGAGCGCCGCGATCCTGTGCAAGCAGCCACCTTTGTCTGTTCAGGACAGGTGAGGTTTCCTGGAGAAATCCCACCCCCGTGGCAGCTCTGTCTCGCATGTGCACAAAGGATTTTAAAATTCATACATATATATTTTTTTAATGGCATTGCCGTGTGCACACAGTGCTTGCGTGTGCCCTGTTTTCCTGTCGTTTGGATCCTTCCACGCCTGTTTTGGGTGTTCCCTGTTTGTGGCTGCTGCAGATGGGAGCGGGCAGAGGTTCCATGTGGGAATTGCTGGGAAGGCTCCACCCGGCTGCATCTTCCCTGGGGATGATCAGAGCTCTGTGATCCATGGTCAGGGATCTTTCTTGATCCTGCAGGGCTGCATGTGCAGGTAATTCCCTGGTTCTTTTATTCCCTCTGGAAAGTTGTTCCTTGTGCTGTTGAAGCTGTTTGAGCCTGACTGTCCCAATCCACTGCCATGTTCAGTGTTTGACCAGCACATTCCTCATCCTTCCTTGACCTGGAGTGATGACCCTGAGCATTCCTTAGGCTCCCCTTTTGTTGGTCAGGTGGGGTTTGCAATTCTCAAGTTTCCTCACCTCACAGGAGTGGAGCATTTGTTTAATGTTGAATTATTCAGATCAGAGAGAACCTCAAGCAGCAGGTCTTGCCTTGAAAATAATTCTTCTGGAATTGATTTTGGCTGGAACAGATGTTTGTGTTTGAGCAGGGAAAGGTGTGGAGCAGGTGATGTGGTGCCTGGGCTGTGCTGTGTAGGTACCAGGGAAGAAAGTTGAGGTGCCAACCTGCAATTTCTACACCCCTTCCATGTTTTCAGAATCTTGCTGGCCACCTTGAAGGGGTGCAGGGTACAAAGGTACCTGTGGGGCTGTCACTTGTCCTGGTCTTGGGCTGAAGACAGGTTGGAGCTGTAACCAGGGACCCTGTGAAGCTGATTCCATCCTGCCCCTCAACAGCACCTGGCATCTGGATTTTCCCTTTGCAGGCTGTGACATTCCATCCCTGCTCTGCTCTGAGTCCTTTTCTAAGAGGAGAAAGCCCAAGTGACAGATCTGAGACTCCTTGGGGTGCTCAGCATGATTCCATTTCTCTGGGAAGAATCAGCTGGATCTGGCACTCCCTGCAGTGTGGGCAGTGCCAGGCCAGGGGGTTTTGGGGTGGATCCTGCAAATAACAGCAGCTTTGAACACCTCACATGACATTCCACAGAGGAGCAGTTCAGCTGTTCCTTCCATTACTTTTTCAGTTCCTCCACGTGTATTTGATACCCTTGTGTCAGGTCTCTTTGCCCCAGCTGGATCTTCAGTAGCTTTCCAGTTGTCGTTTTTCAGGCTAAGCACAGGAATGCAAACAGACCCACCCATGCCTGGTCCTGGGCAGGCTGAGGCCTCACCTGCCACTGCTGCACTTTTCTTTCTCCTGGATGAATCAGGGTGTTGGTGGAGGTTCCATGTGCCTGTTGGTCTGCAGAATTCCTGCTCATCCCACCAAAAGGAGCCAATGGACCACGAGTTGTAACAGTCATCACCTGTGTGCATGACTGACTACAACAGTCTGCTCTGAATTAAGCCAAAGCAAATTTTCCAAAGTTTACATGATCCCTCTGCTGTCTTGGAACCTTTCTGGGATGCTCTGCTGCTGATACCAGCCTGCCCAAACCGACTGGGTCATCTGCAGGGTTAATGGGATCTGTGGGAGCGGGGTGAGATCAGCTCTGGTGGTTTTGTTCTGTGCCTGGGAGATGGGACCTGCAGCCCTGTGAGGTTCTGTGCCTGTGGTGGGAGTCAATAAACAGCACTTGAGCACGTTGTTGTCTGATCTCCCCAAAGAGCAGCTCTTGTTTCTCCCTCCTAGAACTGCTGATCTGTCTTTAAACAGCCACTGACCCTGTATCGATCCCTGGTTTTCTTGTCATTGCAGCATCCCCTCCCTTGTACCTGGAACCACTGCAATAAAGCATTCCAGCCCACCCATCCCTCCCTGCTGTGTGCACGGGCTGCTGAACCCGTGAGATGAGGCTGCTGTGGTGAGCTCATGGATTTGTGGTGTCCTTGGGGTTTTCCCCCTGCCATGCTCCTGCTCACAGGGCAGTGACACTCTGCTCCCAGGGCTGCTGCTCACCTTGTGTCCTGTCTGGAAGTGTCCAAGCCCTGGTTGGATTGAGCTTGGAGCAATCTGGTCTGTGGAAGGTGTCTCTGCCTGTGGCAGGGGGTGGAATGAGGTGAGCTTTAAGGTCCCTTTTAAACCATTCTGTGACTTCATGATTCTCCAGTCATCTCTGGGTTGGTTTCAGTTTTCTGAAGGCTCCTCCTTTCTCCCTGTTCTCACATGAATCCCTTTTATTGTACAGAGGACCAAATAAAATTCCCTGTGAGGCCAATTCCAGCCTCTCTGCAGCAGCAGAACCAAGTTCCATTTTGCTTATTTGGAAGTGAGAAAGGAGATGCTGTTCCCTGGATCATAGAATCATGGAATCTCCCGAGTTGGAAGGAACCCACAGGCATCATCGAGTCCAACTCAATGGGGTGCACAGACACCCCAACAATCCCACCCTGTCCAACCCTGGGAGCATTGTCCAAACACTCCTGGAGCTCTGACAGTCTTGGGGCTGGTACCATTCCCTGGGGAGCCTGGGCAGTGCCCAGCACCCTCGAGGGGAAGAATCTTTTCCTAATATCCAACCCCAAACCTCCCCTGACTCAGCTCCAGCCCTTCCCTCAGCTCCTGCCCCTTGTCCCACAGAGCAGGGATCAGAGCTGCCCCTCGGGAGTCTCCCCTGAGTCTCCTCCAGGCTGAAATGGGAATGTCCCGGCTCCTCCCTGCAAGGAATTCGTTCCAGAACAAAACCAAGGGCGTTCCCTGACTCACACCTGCTTCTCATCCGGTTGTGTGGATCTGTGGCACTGAGAAAACAGAAGCCACTTTCCCCTTGTCCCCCTCTGCCACCCTGCCCGTGTCCCCGTGTCCTGGCTGCTCATGTCCTGGAGCAGCCGAGGAGCTGAGAGGGTTTTGTTTGCTCCACGATTTCCCCTCGTTACTGGTGGGGTTCTGGGGGGCAGCGGGGTCGGGGCACGGCAGGAGCTGGGGCACAGGGGATCCCTGTAGGTGGCACTCACAGACCAGACTTGCAGCTGCCAGGGCACTGCCGGCACCTGGGGAAGCTGCAAATAAATCCTGGTGCCTTGAAAAGCAAATCTGCTTCCTCCAGCAGCTCTCTGGGAAGAGCTGGAAGTGCCCTTTGGGGGTTGTGTCTCTCTTGGCATCGGGGTGGGGGAGCAGCAGGTTTTGGGGTGGCTCCTGGGGAGCTGTTGGGGTTTCTCTCTCAGGGGAGTGTCTCTCTCAGAAGCAGGGCAGGGTTTTGCTCCAGCTCCGCTTGAACCAGGTTCCACCTGGCCCTGCCAGGACTTGTTTGGGAAAGATTTTTATGATTCTGGGCCTGACAAGGTTTCAGGAGGCCCTGGTTTGATGGAGCGATGCCACCGGCTCCAGCACAGACATGAACAGCAGCAGCCCGGGGGCACCCCGGCTTTCCTGGGCCAAATTAACTGCAGTGCTAATGAACTAACAGAGAGCATTCCCTGTGCAGCAGCATGGGCAGGACATCATCACCCTGTCCAGTTAGATTGGATATGAGGGAAAATTCCTTCCCCAAAAGGAAGGGATCCAGCCTGCTCAGGCTGCCCAGGGCAGTAGTGGTGTCACCATCCCTGGAAGTGTTCAGAAAACCCCTGGATGTGGCACCTGGGACATGGTTTAATGGTGCCCTTGGCAGTGCTGGGGGAGTGGTTGGACTCCCATGATCTCGGGGGTCTATTCCAATCTAAAAAAATTCCATGATTCTGTGCTTTCAAGCTCTGTGTGCGGCGCTGGGAGCTGCCACAGGATATGAACCAAGTGCTTGTTCCTTTTCAGGCTCAGGGGGCTGTTACCCCAATTAGCACTAATTGCTGTGGCCCGTGGTGCTGGACCAGCTGCAGCTGTGCTGTTCTCCCCTCATCCCTGTTCCCTGCTCTGTGCCATCCCCTCTTCCCGGGCTCTCAACGGGGACAGGCTCCGGCTGGCGCTGGCTGGGATTCCAGTCACAAACACAAGCTGGCGGCATGGATCTGCTCGGAATTTATTTTAAACTCGAGGTAAAGTGCTCTTGATGCTTTGGATGCAAATTTCCTTCCCTGGAATGGGAGCTGCGGGGCCGGTGGAGTGCCAGGGAGCTCTTTTGATTCCAGAGCCTGTTTGCTGCTGCGGCTCCTCGCGCCGCGCTCCGTGGAGTGCGAAATCACCTCTGCGGCAGAGCCCGGGGAGGGAGCACTGCTGGCACACGGAGCTCTTCTCTCTCTTCCCTCACTCCTGTCCCCTGGTTTTAATGAGGGTTTGTGTCTAAAGTTGGGGGTTTTTAGGTTTTGGTGTTTGTTTTTTTTTGTAGTTGTTTTTTGCAGGTTTTTTTTGGAGTTTTTGTGTGTGACAGCAGTCTGTGTGTGATTTTTCTGGTCACTGGGAGAAGAGATGGTCCAAGTCCTTCCAGCCTCCCAAAGAGGAAAAAGAGAAAAATATAGAATGGGTAAAGGAGGCTCTGTTCATAGATTTTGGAGTTTTTTGTCACTGGATTTATCCAGTACCAAATGAACCTTAGGGTTTTCTAGGTGGCATTAGCCAAGGCCAGGTTGGATGGGGTTTGCAAGAACCTGATCTAGTGGAAGGTATCCCTGCCCATGGCAGGAGGTGGAAATGAAAGAGATTTAAGGTCCTTCCAACCCAAACTATCCTGGGATTATCCCCATGAGCAGCTCTCTGGGTCACAAATTGTCCCCATGAACACACCAGGCTCTTGGTCCCTTTGAGGCCAAGCCCTGGATGGATGAGCAGATGAGCATGATCAGGGGAAGGTGTCACAAATTTTGTCCCATTTGTTGCTCACACACTCACGGGGTGCTTTGGCATGACTTTGGATGGCTCTTGGAATTTCCCCATAAACATTTTCAGCTGCACTCTCAATTCTCCTCTGGCTGTGTCCCTCTCATTGTGGGCAGGGGCTGGGTGGTCTTCCTCACCTTCATTCCATGGACGCTGGCATTCCAAAATGTGTCTCTGGGTTGATGTGGAATCAGGTGGCACATTGGGAAGGAAGCTGGGAATGTTTCAAAACCTGCTGCAGTGTCTCTGATGTCTCTTCTGTTCCACTCAACAAAGCACCTCTACACAACAAGCAGATTTTCCTGTATCAGAAATTACCTTTACTTAGTTGGCTTTTTGTCTAAATCCTCCTTCTGATCTTTATTTTTTTCCCTTCCGTCATGGAAAGGTGAATGGAAGTGGCACTTCAGCCACCAAAGCCTTTCCTTTAGAATTGCTGCTTGTTTTTTGTTTTAAAAATTTTCCAAGGGGGCTTTGCAGGGGAGGAGGAAGGAGCGTCTGCTTTTCAAGTGACTCTGGGGAATAAAAGTATAAAGGACAGGAATGATCAGAACTGTGCTGGCAACAGAACAATATTTTATTTTTGAGTACCAGAGCTAATTGGAGAAGGAATTCACATGACAATTTTTTCAATCTAAGGATAAATAAACATGAAAGGGGCTCTCTGTGCTCCTGAACGTGTGAATGCAGTGGGAAGGGGGGGGGGGAACGGCCCAAAAATTAAATTGGAGACGATGTCTTGGGTGTTACAATCCCATGTTTGCTTCTCATGATGCTGGATCAAAGTCACGAGCCGAAGCTCATGTCCAGGGATACTTTTGGGGGGATGGAACTTCCATGCACCCGTGGGTTGGAATTGCCAGAAAAAAGAGGATTTTAGGTCTGATTTGCTGGAAGCACTTCCATGGTTTGTGGGATTTCTGTGGATCTGAATAGATCCTGCTTCAGCAGGGCTTAGAGAGCCCCTGCCCATGGAGAGGTGTTTGTAGACAATTAGCAGCTGCTTTACTTAACGAGGCATGTGGGGAATATGGGGGTGATGGGTTAGAGCAGGGGGTGGAACAAGGACTGGGAGTTCCAGTTCCCATCCAGACCATGCTGGGTTTTGTGGTCACCCTATACCCAGTCATTGTGGTTCCTGGGTGTGAAGAGGTTTTGATGCCACATCCCGTGCTGGGAAATGGCACTGAAATGGCACTGAACTGGGTTTGTGATGCCACATCCAGTGCTGGGAAATGGCACTGAAATGGCACTGAACTGGGTTTGTGATGCCACATCCAGTGCTGGGAAATGGCACTGAAATGGCACTGAACTGGGTTTGAAATGCCACATCCAGTGCTGGGAAATGGCACTGAAATGGCACTGAACTGGGTTTGTGATGCCACATCCAGTGCTGGGAAATGGCACTGAAATGGCACTGAAATGGCACTGAACTGGGTTTGTGATGCCACATCCAGTGCTGGGAAATGGCACTGAAATGGCACTGAAGTGGTGAGTGGGCATCCTCCTCATTCCCTCTCCCATTGGAAATGTCTCCCAGTGCTGATGTGATTCCCTCCTGCCACGCTGGAATCCCCAGGAATTGCTGTTGGCAGCACCTGGGCATCCTCAAAATGCTTCCATGTGCCACATAATTCAGAGCCTGGAAATGGGAGTGTTGAGATTTCAGGTTTGCAGACAGAAGAGTCCATTCCAGGGTTATGCTCAGCCCCTGCAGAGTACCAGGAGGTTTGTCCTGCACTGTGTGAGGTGAAGGCAGAAGGTTCCCCTGGAGAGGCTCCAGCCCCTGCCTGGAGCATTCACTCTGCCCCACTACGCTGCTGTTACGTTCAGGTGGTTAATTACTCTTGCTCTTTAAAAGAATAAAACCTCATGTACTTAAAATAATCCCAATTA